GGCGGTCCCTCCAGAGAGGCTCCCAAAGGACCTCTCCCTCAGTTAGCACAGGGACCCCTCACCCACTCCAGAGCCATAGGTAGAGGGCCTGCGCATGCTCCCAGAACAAGCAGATTCACTACCCAAATAAGAACCTGAATCCTGGACTAGGGTCCACTCCCTTGGGCCATGAGAACGTCCCCCACGTGACTGCCTCCCAGAAGCAGGCACATTCCTGTATGCGTGCACATACATGTGCATGAGCACACAGAGATGTGCACGGACACACACCAGGCACTAAGGGCCAGAAGAGCCAGGTGGCTGCATCAGGGTCCCCCCGCCTGTGGCTTGCGGGGCAGGCAACCCAGGATCAGCTGCCCTGGATTAGCAGCTCCTCTACCCAGAGGGCAGGGCACTGCCATTCAGACCTAGGGAGCAGCCCCCGAGGGAAGAGGGGGAGGAGAGGAGAGGACTTGCGGTGGGGGGAGTCCTGCCTCCTCCCCAGGCCCCCAGGGCTGCCAAGATGTGGCCGGCCCAGCCTGTCCCTCCCACTGCTGGCTGCCCCTCCAAAGAGAGCTGCCACAAACAAGTCTGTGGCACTCAGAGGCCCCAGGATCTGGGCCAGAGGCCCCATGGAGGTCCCTGGGGGAGGCAGCATCAGAAGCCAAGGGTCCTTCTCCATCAAGGGCAAAACTTCTCGTCTCACCACCAGGAGGCTAACACAAAAGGCCTTGAACCTGCTTGTCTTTAAGGGCTGCTCAAGCCCCCAGTTCACCCCAAAAGCCCTCCCTGGGCTCAGCAGCCCCAGCGTCCCCAGCAGGGAGCTCTCCGTACCCAGCCAGCCTGGGGGTGGGAGGGGAGAGCTCCCTCCAGCCTGGCTCAGGAGAGCACTGGAGGTAACCAGCTTTAAAGTCTGTGCCCACTGCCCGATACTCCAGGTCTGGTCCTAAGACTGGACAAAGGGAAGAGGGAGGTGCCTGTCCCAGATGCGGGAGCCAGCCCCCTGCTCACTCTGCTCCCTGCCTGGACCCTACCTGCAGAGTTCAGGCAGCTCCGGCCAGCAGCCCTGTGCCCCTGGCCTGCCTGTTTGTCGAATGAAGCTTCAGCCAGTCCCCCAGGACGGCTCAGGGGCCGGCACGGGCTGTACCAAGTGCAGCTGCAGGCAGGGGAGAGCCTGGGATGGCTGTGAGCAGAGGGCTGGGGGGACTTCAGGGAAGTCTGGAAATCAAGGGAAGCAGCCTGTGGGCTGGGAGGTAGAGGAACTGCAGAACTGAACCCGGCCTTCACCTCTGCAGGGCCAGGGAGAACCCCCCGCCAAATGCAAGGCTCCCGGGGGAGAAGCAGGGTAGGGCTGAATCAGGCAGGCTGGCAGGGAGGGGCCAAGCCTCCTTAAAATCCACTGCCCAAGGGGACAGTGAGCGGGCAGGGCCCAGCTGGCCAAAGGGCAGGAGGGGAGAACAGGAAAGGGGCACAGCCCTCCTCCGCTGCACACCAGCTTCCTCGGCCTAGTGGCCTTGTTGCTCACCACTGTCTCCATCCTGACCACAGGGCCCCTGAGACACGGCCTTTGCTGGGGAGAGGAGCTGGCTGGCAGCTGGACCTGTGGCCTGGTCTGGGCAGGGGCGAGTCACTGAGGCTTTCGCACTGCTGCACCGCTCAGGGTCTGATTCCCGCCCACCCCCCAAGCCTCCAGCTCCTGCTCCAAGCCCACAGGAAGGGACGGGTCAGGCTGTCCCGGAGAAGGGGGGACTAGAACCGGGAGCTCTCCTGCCTGCCTCTGTTCCCGCTCACTGGCAAGTTCTAGCTCTCGGAGGCTTCGAGCCGTCTCCAAGCGGGGCGGTGAGCAGTCCCTGCCCAGCCTCGCACGGCTGGCTGCTGGAGGAGGCTCGGCGAGATGAACCTCCGCAGGAGCCCCGCACAACACCAGGCTCCGTGCCAGCGCACAGCCCCCCTCACTGGGCACGGCGGGAGGTTCGCAGGGCCCAGGGGCAGCGCAGGGAAGGGTAGGAGAGGGGACGATGCTCGCTCTTACTTGCAAAAGGGCAGAGAAGGAAGAGGAAGGAAAGATGGGTATCAGCTCCACGCCCAGGGTGCGAGGTCCTTGCTCGCCTGAGGACTCTGATCCCTCACACAGGGCCCCAGCTGACTCCTAATCTCCTGCAAGAGGCTGGTCTGTGTTGGCTCCTCACCAGCTGCCGCGAAGGCCCTAACCTCAGCCTGGCCCCCAGCCGGCGGCCCGGGGCCTCCACAGCAGCGTTGGGAGTTACAAGCCAGGTTCTAGCGGCCACAGCCATCCCGCCAGTCTGCTGGTCGTTGAAGAGAGCTCTGAAGGGTTCACCGGAGATGACACCCAGGCACCCAGGCCAAGCTCCAAGGCTCAGCTGCCTACTATGGAGGAGGTCTCTGGCCGCAGCACCACAGATACACACACCCACATTCACACAGGGGAGTCAAGCAGAAGCCAGATGGGGCTGCCCCCAGCCACTCCCACCAACTCCAACATCCTGGCCACCAAGATTGCCTCAGTAGGCAGGGAGGTGCCCAAGTCTGTGACCCACAAGTATCAGACACCCACCGTCTGACCACCCACGAAAGTCTCCTGTTCAGCAACAGGGCAACCAGGACAGACCGAGCCCTAGGACACACGAAAGGCCTGGACCTCGGCAGAGACCCCCAGGGCAGTAGAGACCTCAGACCAGACAACTTCAATAGCATAAGACAACACAGCAGGAAGGGGACTGAGCTATGGGTAGGAAGCCAGGGGCTGGGAGGGTGACCTGGTCAGCCAGGCAGGGGAGGGTCCTTCCTCAGCCACGGGGGGGGGGGGGGGGGGGCCTGGGGGGTCCCAAGGGGCAAGTTTAATTCTCCAAAAAAAAAAAACTGGGGAGGTTGACCCCCGGGAAGGAGGGAATGCCGCACCACACCGCCTGCCCCAATGCTGCAGAGACGCCTACAGCCTGAGAGCTCAACCAAGAGGTGCAGGGGCCATGCGGTACCCCCAAGGACAGCCCATCCCCTTCAGGGACTCACAACCCACCCCAGGAATGGGCCAGCGGCAGAGGCAGGGGAGCCCCCATTCAGACCCCCAGGAAGGGCAGCCTCCAAGTGGGGTCCTGCAAAGAGAAACTACCCTCAGGGGAAGCCTGAGCCTGCCGGTCAAGGCCCCCACGCCTCCACTCCATGCACACACACTTCCCACATGCACACACCAACACGTGTGCACACACACACCTCTCGTTGCACCCACTCCTTGTTACGGGGAGCAGCATCACTGACACAGAAACCTGGCACCCCCCCAGCTCGCCTGCCTCCCCACTGCACTTCCCAAGCCAGCCATCGCTGGGACTGAGGGCAAGGCACCAGCAGCAGCAGCAGGGTGCCAGGGAAGGCGGGTCCCCCCACCCCCGGGCGGGGTGGGGGGGTTCAGGAGCCATCCGCGGTGGAGGTGAGGCAGAGCCAGTACCTGAGGACAGGAAGCCCGCACTCACCTGGAACGGCGGCAGCCGAGGCCTGCAGACTGCCCCGCTTCTTAAAGGGGTACTTGGCCTTGGGCTTGCCGGGGCCAGATGGATAGGATGCCATGGCTGGGGCCACGGCGACAGCGGGGGAGTCTGAGCCGCACCGGCTGGGGCCTGGCTCTGCCACATCCAACCCCTTCCTCCGCCCCGCCCCCAGCGGGAGTGACTGATGCAGGAAGCAGCGCCCCGCAGGCGGAAGAGGCCCTGGCCACGATTTCTGATGTTGTCTAGGCAACGTCGGCGAGTGGGGCCTCCATCCCGGCCCCTTAGCCCTCGAGTGACGCGACTGACGGCGGCCGGATCTGGGGGGCGGGGTGGAGACTACCAGATCGGGGAGGGCCGGCCTCCAGCTCGCCACTAACCGCACCCACACCCCGCCACCCCCCACCCCCGCTCAGGAAACCTCCCCCCGCCCCGGCCAGGGCTCCAAAGTCCAGGCTGGCTGGTCCAGCCAGCCGGAGAGCAAAAGACCGCCGTAAAGAGGAATCCGGCCGAGCTCGCCTAGTTCAGAACCCACTCCTCGCAGGGCAAGGCGGGGCAGGCGCGCTCCGTCCAAAACCCGGCGCCTCGAGGCGAGGCTCTGCCCCCTCTGCTCCTCCACCTGACCCCCGGCTCCAGGGGCAGCCCAGCTCACGGAGGAGGGAGTGGAACGGAGAATCCCAGCCCAGGAGGGAGGGGCCTGCCTTGGGAAAATTCCACGGACCGGCGGAAGCTACCTCCCAGGAAGCCAGGGGCTCTTCTGGGGTCTGGGGAAGGGACGCCCCGCCACCCCACCCCCAGCCGCTTCTGACTTTCCCTTCCACACTCGCTCCGCTTCCCCAGCCTCTTCCCGAGGTCCTGCAGATTGTGCCAAGACCCCCACACTCTTGTCACCCTGGCCACAGCACCTCTGAGTCCAGAGACCCTCGCCCCAACATACGCGCACACACTTACCCGAGGCCATGCTGCCTGAATCCCGAGGGGCACTGGGGGAGCCGCCCGCGAGGGTCTGCACAGCCGGGAAGCCCGGGTCGTGAGGGAGGGGAGAGGGGCTGGGCCCCAGACCCCGGCCAAGTCGCTCCAAAGGGCCGTGACCTGGCACTGGGTTGGGGAAAGTAGGGCAGTTTTTCAAAATTTCCAGCCGGCTGCGGGCGAACCGCAGCCGACCTCGGCCGACCGAGTGGCCTCGGGCAACCCCGGCGTCCCGACCCCCCAGCCAACGCACTGGAGAAGCGGGCAGGCCACGTGCTCCCCCAGCCAGCAGGACCCGGAACTCGTCCGGGTTTCTCGCAACACGCCTTGGGTATGTGGCGCCGGACTCCCGTGGCTGGCCAGAGGGGAACCGCGCAACAGGTGCGACCCCACCCGAACCCCAGCGGCGCCGCGCCAGTCTCCGTGGCCCCAGGCCCCGCGGCCCCGCCCCCGGGCTGGCCCCGCCCCGCCCCTTTTCCCGGGCGCCACGTGGGCTGCGAACTCCGCGGTGGGCCTGGCCCGGCGCCGGGTGGGGGGCGAGCTGTGCGCGCCAGCTTCCTCCTCCGTAAGGCGGGGGACGGAGCGGTGACAGCGCCGCGCTCTGGGGGTAAGCGGCGCTGGGCCCAGCGGGGGCCTAGGAAAGGGTAGCCGTGGTTAGCGGCTCGGGAGTCACTTGAAACCGAAGTGCGGCCCCTCGGGCGACGGCGTCCTCACCTGGGCCGCCCGTTCGGCTCGGGCGAGGGTGTGTCCTCCGATTCCATCTTCCCCCTCCCACGCTAACTTCTGTATTTGCCGGTTAGGCTCCGTAGCCCGAATTCCTGGGTTGGAATTCAGGACTTCGATCTCCTCCCTGGCTACCTAACTGCTTCGGTTTCTTGTGCTTTATATGCTGGTTGTTTAAGGTGAATGAGCTAACATAAGATAAGTGTGTATAACTGTGCCGGCCTGTAGTTACCCCTCAGTGTTCCTGCATCATCACTTCATTGGTTTGGCCTTGGACTTGGTTCCCAAGTGACACGCTCACGAGTTGATTCACCTTGCAGCCCATAAATTAGTGGAGCTGAGCTGTCTTGGGCACCGCAGGCACGCTGTCCGGCCGGCATCCTCACTGGGGAGGGGCACAGGAAGTCCCTAAGCGCTCACTGAAAGTCATTGTTATCCTGCCCCTGTGGGAGCCCTTTGCCCCCCACACCCAGCTGTGCTAACGCAGTCTGTCGGGTCCCTCCCAGTTCTCACCTCCCACGCAGCCAAGTTCCTTCCCAAACTCTGCCTCCCTCTGCCCTCCCCACACTGGATTCTGGACCCTGAACCCCATCCTCTGCCTGCACCTGGTGTCGCCTCCACTGATCCCTTGTCTCTTGCCCCACGCTTGGAACAAATTTAAACTCCATGGCTTTCGTAAACGTAGGGAGGAAATGCCTTCACCTTACAAAGAAAAAGAGAACCAGGAGATACCATGTTCACCAATCAAAACGGCAAAGCCTAAGAAAAACATATCAATGCAGGCAAGGGGATAGTGAAATGGGACACAGACACACACACACAGACTACCGGAGGCTATAAACATTGCTATTTGGTAGTAGATAATCAAGAATCTCATAAAGGTTCTTAAATCTGACACAGCTCTCCACCTCCAGGAATTTAAAAAAAAAAAAAAAACATTTATTTATTTGAAAGGCAAAGTGACTGAGAGAGGGAGAGACAGAAAGGTCTCCATAGTTCACCCCTCAAATGGCAACCATGGACAGAGCTAGGCCAGGCTGAAGCTGGGAGCTAGGAACTGCATCCTGGTCTTCCACATGGGTGGCAGGGATCCAAGCAGTTGGGCCATCTTCAGCTGCCCTCCCAGGCGCATTAAGGAGCTGGATCAGATGTGGAGCAGCCAGGATATGGGATGCCAATGTTGCTGGCTGAGCTGGACCCACTGTGCCATAATGCTGGCCTGGAAATTGTTTATTTTAAAAAGAGCTGCCAGAAGAATATGTATGCGCTGCAGCACTTCTTACCTAGAAAAGCTGAAAACTTGAAGATCCAGCATAGGGAAATGTTTAAATTATATGCATACAATGAAATATAACCTTTAAAAGCTTCTTAGAGAATTTTTTTAATGAAGTGGAAATGTTTACAATATAAAATCAGGTGAAAATGGATGCAAAAAAACTATACACACAATATAGTCCTAATTATGTGACATGTGTGCCAGAAAAGCACACCAAAAAGTTTACAAATGATGATCTGTGACTGGTGGGATTACAGTTAGCTTTGCTTTGTTCTTTATGTTCATCTGCACTTAAGTACTGAATATAGAGCATACCAACTGCTTTTAAAACCAAGCGGACGGAAATCATCAAAAGCTTGTGAAACTCCAGTCGCCCACACATGGACTCCCCCACCCAGACTCCCAGGAGTCTTTGGGGTTTGTTTTGTTTTGATTTATTTAGGCAGAATGACAGAGGGAGAGATCTTCTATCCATTGGTTCACCTCCCAAATGGCCAACTGGCACTCCAACACAGGAGTGTCACAAATGGTGGCACTGCAGTGCCAGCCCACCTGGTGTCAACTCTAGATCTCAAAGCTATTCTTGATGTGGCTCTGTCTGTTGGTCTCTGGGCTAAGTTTTGAGGTTGGGCTCTCAAGAGTGAGCTTTTAAAAAAAATCTCAAAAATCAAGCACTATGTATAATTTGTATTTGAGAAGAAAAGGGTGACAGTTTTCAGAGGACAAAGCCTTGCCTTGGGCCTCTTCAGCAGGCCCCCAGGGCAGACCTACCGGCCTGGCCAGCCGATAGGCGATAGGCGGCACTGCTTGCCCTCTACCCAACCCAGGCAAACCAGTTCCTCAGTCCCTGCGTGATCCTCCCTGGTCCCACCTGCAACACACCCTTCCCTCTGTGAGCCTCCCGTTTCCAGGCCACCTGCGAAGCGTGTGTGTGTGTATGCGCGTGTGTAGGAAGTATGCCCTGGTTACAGCCGAGCAAGCGTCAACCCTCCCCTGCCCCCGCCCCCTCAACCCCAGCAAGAATCCCAGTGGGGTTTCATTCTCTAGGTGAAGCTGAGCTTGGGGAATAAAGAAGTGAGTCAGCCATGGCCTCAGCTGTATCCCCACTCCCCCCGCCCCCGGAAGGCCCTAATGTTGCTCATGAGCCTCTGGGATCTTCCCGAGCTCTGATGCCAGGCTACGCCCCCGCCGGCTCCTTGCGGCCCGCCCAGACCCCGTGACAACACACTCCTGCATCTCTGAAGAGCAGCTTCTCTTCACTCCTGGCCTTCAGCTCAGTCGTGATGTCAGCCTCGCTGGGCCACACCACTCCTCAGACTTGGGAAAGAAAACTCACAGCTCCAAACAAGATCCCAATTTTCTGAACGATACCCTTTGCCTAGACCCTTCTGGAACCAAGCTGTTTGGCTTTTGCTCCTCAGCTTCCCCCAGCAGCCAGCTCTCCCCTGTCACTCCGGTCACCCAGCACTGTTTATGCAGCACCAGGCAGCTGTAACCATCTGTATTTGCAAGTCACCAGTGGATTTTGGCCAAAGCCCTTAACCTGCCATTCAAGGCTCTTTGCTGGCTGGCGCATTTCCCTTTCCTGTCCTTGTGTCACAGCCTTCCCCTCCCCATGCCCTTTCACCCCAGCCCCGGTCACATCCAACTTCCCTGTCTTCTCTGAGCACACTCATGCTGCACGCCTGCTGGCCTTCCTCTCCCCAGAGTGCTTACCCCCACTCCTGCTCTCCTGCTCCACTTACCACCACCCTTTCCTTCCACGGCACGTGCCAGTCTGCGGGGAGACCCGCTGCTGGCTGCCTCCCCTACCAGCGGTGCAGGCTCCAAGTTCCCCGCATTTCCAACCATGGTGTCCCTTTAACTAACCTCTGACTTTCCCCCACCTCTTCCTCTGGACTGGAAAGTCCTGAAGGCGGTTCCTCACCTTTAAGTACAAATCCTGAGAGCCCCTTACCCGGGAGCCAGGCTGCTCAGTTTCCTTGGGAAACCATGAGTCCTTGCTCACTCAAATGCTGTGGGCAGAAAGGGCTGTGAGCCGGGACCCCCGAGCTCTGACTCGGATTGATAGGAACTTGCTTCATTGGAAGAGCGCTTTTCTGTGCTTCTGTCCCCTTGCCTCTCAAAGGGGAATGGCACTACATGCCACACCACTTCCCCAGCACGCTGTCACTCAATGTGGTGAGGAGCGGACTGGCCACAGGAAAGTCCCAGGAGCTGGCGGCGGGCAGCAGGGATCTCCAGCGCAGGCGGGCACAAGGTGAGTGCCGTGTTGGGTCTGTGCCCTCGGATGCCGGGCAAGGGCCAGGCATTCCCTCACTCAGCTTGGAAGCAAAGCAGAAGCTGCCCAGAAGCTTGCGGCGGTAGCCTCCGAAAAGGGAACAAGTGCAAATGTGTTCCCTGCGTGTGACACATGTCAGCGGTTCCTTTAGCAACGCCAGTGCTGCTGGGTTGCAGGAGATCACGCACTTGGCTGCTTCTGTGGGGGCAGTGGGAAGAGAGATCACTGTTTACTAAGCTGTATGACCTTTAACAGGTTGCTTAACGCTCAGGTCTCAATTGTCTGTGTGTAAACTGCGGACAGTGGCACTTGCCTTGCTGTCACTGTCGGGACTGACCCGTGGGAGCCACGAAGGCTGTCTAGTCTGGTTCCCGGCAGTCCCTTGCCTTCTACAGTGCAGCCTTCTGCGCAGCTCTGGCCCACGTGTAAATGAGCAATGTCGTGGGTAGGCAAGGGCAGGGCTGGCGGTGAGGGATAATTACTGAAACCTTATAGCCAAGATTCCAAGACGGCCACGATCTCAAAGAGGCTCTCCGGTTAGCCTGTAAGTCAATAAGCACTTGCCAGTTTCTGATTGGGAAAACGTGACCGCCCCGGATGGCGCCTCCGCAGTTGCCTGCCGGTTTCTCCTTCCTCTTGAGAGTCTGGGCCCGCAGACTTTCAGCTGAAGGTGGCGGGGAGGAGGCAGAAGATCAGCGATGGCCCAGAGTCCCTGGTGGGAGACCTGGGTTCTCTTTCCATCATCTCAGTCCAGCTGGCCCCTTCTGCATAACTCCAGCTCCTCGAGGGAAGAGCAAATGAAATTCCTCTTGTTCGGCTGCATGTTAGAATCACTGGGAAAATGTTTAAACCCAGACTGCACTCCGTATCAGCTACATCAGCCTTTTTTTCTTTCTTAAAGGGGGAGGAACTTACAGTGTAAAACATGCAGAGTTCTGCAGGGAGTGTTAAGTGCCAACAACAGAAGTATGTATGAGAGATGCGCCAACACACAGACCATGCTAATAGCTTCCTGGAGCAGAGGCCACTGGGGAAGCTGAGGGAACATTCCTAATTGTTCCAATGAAGGGCACCACCCCAAACAAAAACTTCTCGCCAGAACTAGCCTGCTGTGATGAACCCGTGTGCGTTGATGCCTCCAAGGCCTAGAAACCAAGATCCTTTACCACAGAGGAAATACTCCTACATGTGTGTCCCTCATCTCTAGTTCTGTGATGCCTGGGAGTCCAAGGAAGCAAGGCACTCTAGGGGGATGAACCCCTCAAAAGGATGGAGGTGGCCATTTTATTCCAAAGAGCTCAGGCACCGGCATCCTAGCCCTCCCGCCCCCCCACCCCGCAGCCTGCAGCCCGCAGCAGAATCCAGCAGATCACCTCTCTGGCTGCAGGAACACTGGTGTCTTTGCCCTTTGTCGTATTGACAAAGCTCTTAATTGGCTTGACCCATCACACCGCCAGCTATAAAGGCTACAGTCCCTGGACTAAGAAGTAGGTCTCCAGTGGGGTAGGGAGTCCCAGCAGAAGCAGGCAAGGTACAAGCATCTGCTCTCACTCAGCCTCACATAGACCAGCTTTTCAGGGAGCTGAAGAACGATACTTGATCCCAACTTATTTCCTTTTCTTCCATTGATCGTGTAGGAATCCTTATAGGAGATTAACAGCCTGAGGAAGGGACGAGAGAGATGGGGAGTGGAATCAGCGCTGAAGACAAGGAACTGGCCAAGAGGTCCAAGGAGCTGGAAAAGAAGCTGCAGGAGGATGCTGACAAGGAAGCCAAGACCGTGAAGCTGCTGCTGCTGGGTGAGGCGGGAAGACGGGCCCAGAAAGGAGAAGGCGGTGCTCCGTCCTGCTCTCCTGGGGGTCGGTGGGTTCCAGCCAACCTGGGGGGGGGGGGATGGCAGGCTGTTTTTCTTCTGTCCTGTCGAGTCTCAGGCTAAGAGAGTGGGAGCTCGAGGGCTGAGTTCACATGGAGCCTGCAAGGCACCCCAGAGAGCAGGACCTTCTCTCACCAATGATTCAGCAGTCCCATACAATCGCACTACACAGTCCCAGGGATAGGCCCACTGGTTCCTGCCAAGTGCACTGGTTCCTTCTCCCTGCCTTCAGTAAAAATAATGTGGGGTAGGGAGCCCGGAGGGAAGAGACGGGCGTTTTTATCTGCTCCGGTCCCTTCTTGGCTTTCTGTCCAGCAGCAGCTGCCTCTAAAGCCCCGGCCAGATGGGAGAGCCATCACCTTGATGAGCTCCTAAGCAGATCACAGCCTGTGCTGAGGAAATGAAAGACCTCAGTGGGCCAGTCAGGGACACTGGCCGTGGCTACAAAGAGCAGCAGTGACAAACTTTCAGACCCTTGCTTAGGGAAAAAGCAGAAAGGTACCCGAGGCTACCTGGGGTAAGTGGGGTCTCCGCAGCAGAAGAATGGTGGTCTGGGCTAGGTTCCCAAGCCTATGAGAGGCCTGGGAAATGGAGCACCAGGCTAAGGCCCCTCTGCTTCCCCCTAAGGGTACACTGAAGGCTACCCCTGGAGGCTGGACCTAGAATCCAAGGAGCCCAGAGGTTACCCAGGGGGAAACGGAGATGTCAGGGCCACTAAGAGGTCTTTTAAGCCTAATCTGATGCCTTCTAGGTTCAGGATAAGCAGCTGAGGGAGTAAGCACAGGCTGAGGGATCAGGGTAGCAGAGACTAAGAGGGGGGTGAAGGGAATGTGTATTTCTGAAGGGGGAAAGCAGAGTGTGAATGATGTTGCTGGGTCATTTTAGTCAATAGAGAGACTCAAAATAGTATTTCAGTGATGTGGCATAGCCCTCTCCGGTCCTATCCCAAGATCACTTACGTTAAGTGGAAAGCAGGCAGAGAGGGGAAATGTGTTAAAAGGAATTCCCTTGAATCTATCAGGGGTTCTCACATGGGAGACTTTTGATCCCCAGGGGCCACCTGGAACTATCTGGAGACATTTCTGGTTGTTTTAAGTAGGGGACTGGGCCTCTAGTAGAGACCAGGAATACTGCTAAACATTCTACAATGCACAGTACAGCTCCCCACAAGAAAAGAATGATCCAGCCCCAAATGTGAACAGTGCCTTCATTGAGAAACTGCTGGAAACCCAAGCCGGAAGGCCTGAGCTCAAGGCTGCCAGAAATGGAGGGCAGCAGTTATCCCTGGGTTCTCCCCTAAGCAGCTTGGGAGCTCTGCCTTCTCCTGCAGTGCGGGGAGCGCTGGTACAGATGGGAGCACAAGCATTTCTCCTTCCAGGTGCTGGTGAGTCCGGAAAGAGCACCATCGTCAAACAGATGAAGTGAGTAGGCAAAACAGGCTCGGCTCGGGAGGCTATGAGGAAGTCAGGGCAGGTACCCAAGGGGAGGGGTCTTTAGCTGCAAGGAAGCCAGGTATAAGGGACCCGATTCCCAGTGCTGCTTGCCCTTCTCCCTCCCCACTTTGGGACAGCAGCAGGAATAGAGAGATTCCCAGTCCTTTAAGCCTGGTTACTCAGGTGCAGCTGAAGGGCTGGGTGGGTGCCTGCCCCTGCAGGATCATTCACCAGGACGGCTACTCACCAGAAGAGTGCCTGGAGTTCAAGACTATCATCTACGGGAATGTGTTGCAGTCCATCCTGGCCATCATCCGGGCCATGTCCACGCTGGGCATTGACTATGCTGAACCAAGCTGTGCGGTACGTGATTCATGCTATGCAATTAAGAGTGGAAGCAGGAATGCCTAATGAGAACCAGGAAAGTGGCCAAGACACTCTGAGGAAAGATGGGTCAGAAAAAAAGTTGTGTTGTCTCAAAGTCCCATCTGCTGGGCTTCAGATCTTTTTATTCAGCCCTGGAGAAGTAAGCAACCTCAACCTTTGCTTTCGGCTTCCTCTGCGTTTTTAATTTTATCATTTAAATTGCTCCTTTGGGCTCCTTGCCCCAGCCATGGAACTTTTATAGACTAAGTCCCTAGTTCCAGTTTTGGCCTTTTCCTCTATTTGAATCATCCACAGAAGTGATAGGTTTCTGTCTTCCCAGGGTCAGCTATATTGGCCACTGTCTCCAGCTAGAGAACACACCCAGGAGTTAATCAGTGTGTTTTCTTAGCATCCTCCCTGGAGCTGGTCTCCACTCAGGCTTTGGCAGCAAGGCAAAACGTTTCACACTCAGCAGAATTCCCAGAAGACTCCTGGAAAGCCATTACGCCTGTGAAGTTCTCAGTCGAGATTCTGCATTACAGGATCACGGACGACAGCTCAACAACCTGGCCGACTCCATCGAGGAGGGGACCATGCCTCCCGAGCTGGTGGAGGTCATTAGGAAGCTGTGGAAGGATGGTGGCGTGCAAGCCTGCTTCGACCGGGCTGCGGAGTACCAGCTCAACGACTCGGCAGCTTAGTAAGGCTCCGACGGGGAGGGAGATGTGTAGGTGATCCTCTGAATCGCACATGGCCCAAGATTTCCAGCATGGAAAGCTGGAGATCCACAGGCTGAAGTCAGACTGTAGGCCTGTTTTGTTAGGTCTGGGCCACAGGGCTTCCACAGTCCCCAGCAGCCTACAAGCTAAGACATGAAATTCAAGACAGAGGCACTCTGCCCAGCAGTCCTTGACCCTCCAGGACGCAGGAGTCCTGCAGGCCCCGTCAAGGCACACTTCTCTAGCTGTAACCTCAGGCCTCACTCAGGCTACTGGGCAGAAGCGAGGTATCCTCCACCCATAGTATCTTATGGCAGGATGCCAGGGCAAACCAAAGGAAGATGGTCAAGGATCAGACAGTACTTTTATTGACCCCATTTTATGGAAGGACAATTGAGGTTCAGAGAAGTTAACTTGCCCAAGGTTGTATATGTAAATAGCAGGGGCTGGGTTCGTGTCCAGGTCTGCTTGACCACAGAGCTGGAAGTTCTTCACAATCCACCATCATGCTCTCTTCTCAGATTTTCCTCCATTGTAAAATGGGAATGTGAGGTTAAATGAGAATTTCAGAGTGAAAGTGCTGGCCTGCTTTAGGCACGCATGTTGATTTTCCTTTCCTCACCATCTCACTTCACATCTGCCTACCTTATACCCATTAAAATTCTTTTGTGGTAACTTTCAAACATCAAAAAATATACAATAATATAATGAACCACCCAGCTTCAACAGTTAACTCACAACCCCTCATTTCATTTTACCTCTACCCCCACTGGATTATTTAAAAACAAATTTCAGGTATCATTTCATCCTAAAAATTGTATATGTACCTCTAAAACAAAGACTTTTAAAAAAGAAACCACCATATCCCCATCACATCTGATTATTTAATAATGATTCCTTAATATCACCAAATATCTAATTCAGCGTTCAGATTTCCCAAATCCTCTCAAACGCTGTCCCCTAATTTGATTCAGGATATAAACAGAGTCCATGCATTGCGTCCATGTCACATGTCTCTTTCATAAAGTCTTTTTCAGTTTGCTACTGCCACCTGCTTCAAACAGTAAACTTTATTCTAGGGTCTAGAAAGTGCAGTCAAGCGGATCGCAAGAAAAAGTTATGACGTGGCTTAAATGGCAGAGAGCCCCCACCTCAAATGAGTTTGTCCCTCAGCGACACCCGCCCCCACTCCACCTTCCTTTTATAAGGACATATAAAGGTTTAAAGGAAGCAATCCTAGACTTACCCATATGGATTCCATGCCTGTTTCTATCACAAAATTAGTTGCGTGACTTTGGGTAAAAACTCTTGGTCTCTCTTGGCCTTAGCTAAAGAAAATTTAGTCTCATGAATGCCCTCTGCTTTTCTCTAGCTACCTGAACCAACTGGACCGGATTACAGATCCTGACTATCTTCCTAATGAGCAAGACGTGCTACGCTCTAGAGTCAAAACCACAGGCATCATTGAGACCAAGTTCTCTGTCAAAGACTTGAATTTCAGGTGAGTACATGGTTTCATGGAACACCTGATACAAGTGTGGGATCCCAAAACCAGCCATGGGCAACTGCTTGGCCTCTGCTGAAGCCCAGTCTGAACTGTGACCCTGCTTCTTCCCCATTTCTTCCTTACTTCCCATTTTGCTGCTAAATGACCCCCACAATGGCTGCCTGTCAGTATAAACAGCAAAGGCAAGTGGGTCCTGTGGGGCATACCTATGAGAAGAGTTGCTTCTTCCCTCAGGATGTTTGATGTGGGCGGGCAGAGATCAGAGAGAAAGAAGTGGATCCACTGCTTTGAGGGGGTCACCTGCATTATTTTCTGCGCAGCCCTCAGTGCCTACGACATGGTGCTGGTGGAAGATGACGAAGTGGTGAGTAGCCTTGGCACCAAGCAGCTTTGGTAGAACAGGTTCTCCCCATGACCCATTCTCTAAGCCTTGTGTTACTCCAGTGGCTCCAACATGGGCGATGTCAGCTCACTGACAGTTCAGCAGTCCTCTGGCTGACTAACTGATGTCTCATGCAGATAATTCTAGGGAAACCTCTTCTGCTGGTTCATAGTACTTCAGAGCTCCAGACTTGATAACAGTCAGCTTGGTCTCAGATTAGTCATCCAAGTATTCCTTGGATATCACAAAACTCATAAGAGAAATAGAGTATTAAAGAGGTAAAAGATCATCAAATAGGCAAAGAATTAACCCTAGGTACTCTCTCAGGCTGCCCATGGAAGTTAAGAACAGGAGATGAGAAAGAGCAGAGAAAATATCTTTATGGGGCATAACAGAAGGGTTGAGCTACTAATGTCACTTAGAAACCTAAAAATGTATTCACTATCAACAGGAGTATGGAGAGACTGGTAGGCCGGATTTATCACATGCCAATTCAATTGGCAGCCAGAGAACTAACTTAGGGTAGCTGTCATTAGCATGAAGAGATCGACAGGACAGGAGCACTGCAAGGCAAGGGTCAGAAGTCAGCCAGTTACCTTCTCTGAGTATGAGAAAGGATGTTAAAGGCATGGAAAACATTCACTTCATATAAACATCTGCTTCACCAATGGAGGCCTACAGCTTCCTAACGGAACTTCTCTTGCTTCAGCTTCAGTTCCCTTCCCTTTCCCTTAGTTCAAGTTCACATTAGCGCACTCTAAATATCTTCTAACCAAACTGTCTTACAGCACTATGCACTTTCTAAGAGCTCTTGCCCCTTTAACACTCAAGTTTCTAAGACCTTAAAGGGTTTAGTAAGAGTTCTAACAGTAATTAAGTATAACATGTTAATTTTTTAAAAAAATTTGGCAAAGCAATGGGAAAAAGCTATGAATTAGGGGTTTCTTGCTTTATCAGAGAAGACTGAGTCCATGTCAACTGAGAGCACATGGATTTAGGACTATAAAGGCCAACATGTTCCCTAAACACAGGCTGGGCTGGGGCACCGGGTAACTGCTAGACTCTGCAATACATGAGGGGTACTCAAAAAGCTCACAGAAAATACATATGATGGAAAAGCTGTATGCACTGATTTTAAAGATGCATCTTTTAAATCTCAACTTCTCACAAAGGAGTGATCAGAGAAGAAAATAAGAGAGCTGATGTGCTTGTGCAGAGTACTAGGAAATTCTCTAGCCCTCACCACGTGGTACTAGGGTCAAAAATATTCCTGTGGTGTTCCTGCCCAAATTGAGATCGGGAACTACATGACAGAAGCCGATCAAAATCATCCTGGAGATGCAAATGGGCATAAGCTATGCTGGGCCTGGTTTCAATCCTGTATCAGTGGCAGTTATGATGTCAGGGTCTTTAGCTGTGCCCTGGCTGTCAAAGACCTGCATAGCAGGTATTGTACATCTCTACACCAGCCACTCCATGGGTACAGCACGTACATAACCTGAGTTAACTTTCATAACAGCCCTGTAAATCAGGGAAACTGAGACTCAGAAAAGCGCAACAGTTTTTCCCAAGTCACACAGCTATTAAAATGATAGAAAGGGGATTAAAAGGAAGCCAGATCTCTTTCCACATTAAAAAAACAAACAAACAAACAAAGATAAGCTGTCCCCTTTTCTTTCACATGTAGAGCACTAGTCTCTCCAAGGGGAACATGAACAGGAAGTAGACAGATGTGCCATAAATCCATTCTGATATTTTATGGTGTTTCCTCTCACTAGAATCGTATGCATGAGTCTTTGCATCTGTTCAACAGCATATGCAACCACAAGTTCTTCGCTGCTACTTCCATTGTGCTCTTTCTCAACAAAAAGGACCTCTTTGAGGAAAAAATCAAGAAAGTTCATCTCAGTATTTGTTTTCCAGAGTATGATGGTAAGTGCCAAGGGCTGCAGGTATTAATAATATCCATATTACTATAGCCTTTTAGTAGTGACTGGCGATTGCCTCATTTCCTATGCCAAGGAGACACAGAGGAACTCGTCTGAAGGGAGAAACTCAGGCACTCGGTTACAGGGCTTAAATTCAGATGTCTCTGGAATACAGCAGACATCAGATGCAGAACAGCCACTGATTATACAAAGGATACCTTTCAGAAACCAAGGCAAAGACAGACACACTTCACTCAACTTCCTTGCTGCACTCAAAGTGAAAAACACTGGAGTGCAACAGAGGAGAGAAATCTTCCCTCCAGACACAGGGCCCCAGCTGCACTTGTCTGACACAACATTTAGAGGATCAGGTCAGTTACCTAAATATGAGCAACTGAGAGGGGTTAATTTCTCCTACTTCTTCACCACTTTTTCTGGAAAACTAGGAAACAACTCCTATGAGGATGCGGGGAATTATATCAAGAGCCAGTTCCTTGACCTCAATATGAGAAAAGATGTCAAAGAAATCTACAGTCACATGACCTGCGCTACAGACACACAGAATGTCAAATTTGTGTTCGATGCAGTTACAGACATCATCATCAAAGAAAACCTCAAGGACTGTGGGCTCTTCTAACCCCGCCCCCCCAGGTATACACTCTGCAAACAGCCTTGGAATCTGGGTCACTTCAAGCTGAAAATTGTAGGTCAGTGTACCTTGACACAAAGAATGTAACCATTCTCTCTTGGACATGGAGACTGCTTGACTGCAACAGGGCCTCTGGGTCTCATAGGTTCTTTTCAACGTGGGATAGCTAGTTCAGTTTAAAGAGTACAAGGCCAGCAGCTCCTAAGACCCAGGTTTCAGTACTGGTTTTGAAACTTAATATAGGAATGTGAATCCTTTGTTTATCTGAGCTTCAAGGTACTCATTTAAAATGAAGCCCTCCCTCCTTCCCTCACAGAGTTAGGCTGAGAAACACACACATAATGCAAGAGCAGGTACATAGCGCTGTGGTTACAATCACAGAAATAAGTCCTATAAAAAAAACTGCAATTTATAAAATTCTACACCTGATTTTTAGAATAAACTATCCCAAATAAAACAGCAAAACCTTCTACAGTCTGCAAAAAATAAAAAATAAACAACTATTAAAAACAAAACCTCAATAAATCTCCCACCCCTTTAACAGGCCTCTATGTGCCTTGGCTCAGAGATCTGGATCACTAAACAGGAACTGAATTTGTTAGTTTCTAAGGCACCCATCCAACAGTGATCATTTTATTAAGCACAAATTATCTCTGCCCCTCAGGCGTCAAACAGACTGAGCTTCCTTTATCTCTAAAAATAACTGCTCAGCAATACAAGATAATTCTTGACTAAACTTGGAGGACAGCAACATACTCCCCTGTAAGACACTGATGGTTTCACTGCTGCCACTTCTCTTGTCATAGAATTGAAATTAAGTGGGCAATTCTATAATTCTCATTTCAGCTACTGCATGTTCAGGAGAACAAAAGAGACAGCTGAGCTTACTTTAGGCACTGAGAATCTTTGCAGTTGGATCCACGTGATGTGGGCGGAAAACACTATCTCCCCAAACAGACCAGCAAATAAATTATTCCTCTGAACTCTTCTGAGGGGAAATGAAGCTTGCATTTATCATGACAGGAGGTGGTGAAGTCAAGTATAGATTTAGCATTTTACAACCACAAGCGAGGAAAGCTCTTGGCATCCAAGATTTATACATAATACAAAATGTCAGTTAAAACAAAAATCTGCTCCTTGCCAGAAACACCCATTCACACTTAGGCTGCAACTAGCAGTATTAATACTGGAGAGCCATTTGAGTATGGAATTCAATGAAGAATTTGCAGCTGTTAAAACTGGAGTCATTTAGTAGCGTTTCTGATTCCCTAAAAAGAAACCAGCTGAGGAAGAGAATTACCAGAGAAGCTACTCTGGCTATTACAAATTTTGCAACTTAAGCCCCCCCAAAAATACAAAGCACCAAAAACACAAACCCTGGGCATCCAAGAGTTCCCTGGGGACTACTCTGGCATATTCCAAATAGCACTAGTCATTTTACCTACACACATACACACACACACACACAGAGTTCTGATTCGGCTTTGCATTACATGAATCTTTCTGGCAATACGATGAAACCTATGGGCCCTCGTTTCAGAATATTGTTTAAGCATTTATTTACTTTAATCTGCCCGAAAGGCAGAACAACATACAGCACGAAAGAGAGAAAATATATTCCATACATGGGTTCAGTCCACAAATACTGGCAAAAGATTTCCTTACCACCATAATCTTGCCCATTCAGGCCCCACACATAATTTATCACATTTATTCCAACTCCATACAGGATAGCCTCACCTCCCCTCAAATTGTACCACACAGTTTGCTTCTCTGAATCTAGGTAGAAACTGGTATTGGGCCAAACTATAAATTGTAGCACCGGCTCCTTGGTTAGGAATATACACATACAACCTGCCCTCTAGTACAGGAAAGAAGGCAGAGACTGTGGGACAGGCCTTGTGGCAGAACTGAAGTCTCCAGCAGAATAAACAGGACTGCATTTTAGTTGTCTTCTTGTCTGATAGAAATCCCAATTTTTAACTGATTTATAAGCAAACCTAAACAAGTCACCTTGCATGAACACTTGGCAAAAATTAATCTTGTAGAATAGGAGGGGAAATAGTGCTTAAAGCAACATACCTGTTATACAACTGCTGTTTACTGAGCTCAAATCTAGTTATATTCAGAATGGCTTCGAGCTAAACTTTTCTGGCAATAAACCTTTTGGGCTCTAATCATCCATTCTCCTGTGTCTGAGAACAAAGGCGAAATAATTTTCTGACACCTCTACCCTAAACTGGGCTCTCTTCTGGGTAGAGGAAGAGTACCTTGCCTCCGTGCTCTTGATTGGTTCCCCAAAGGCAGAAACCCTTACCGAGTTTAACTGCTTGTCAGGCTCTCAGAGTTCCCAACCATTACAGCTAACGTGCACTTGTAGGACTGACTGGTTTTTATCTCCTAGATATTTTGATTATATACGTGAAAATTTCTCATTGTATGAAATGACTATAAAAATGCTTAAATTTACATCATATACTCTATTGTCTTTGTCTCCTTTTAATTGCACACTGTAAAGTACTGCTGAGTTTCATGTACCTTCTTCATACCCTTATAAACCATCAGAAATTCTCTTTTGTTAGCAAGGTCAGAAACAAATATTCTACCCTATTTTCTGGCACTGCAACCATAATTTTTGGAATACTAGTGTCAGAAGGAATCTAAAATTATTTCAGGCCATCACTAGCAATTTATACATTGGAAACAGAGGTGGAGGGAGGTAGAGCATCTTCATCAAAATCACACTGCTAGAAGGCAGAACTAGATCTTCAAAACAGACCTTCCATGTCCAAAGCAGCGGTCTTTCTACCAACAGCCCACATATGATAAAGTCAAAGGCATTTTCCCTAGCTTTTAAGCTCCTCCCATTCCCAGCCAAATTCTTGGTAATTTTTTAGTTATGCCACCTCCAAATCACAACTATTTAATAATATCATCTCCAAACTAAAATAAATAGCTTTCAAAGCAGAATGTGAAAAAATTATAGAAATCCCAATAATATAAATAGCTGTTAAGTTTGCTTGTTTGTTGAAGGTGTAATTTCTTACCCACACCCTTAGTGAGCAGAATCCATAATGTACTTCCCTAACAGCATGACTAAAGAGACACTGATGACAATAAACCAAGTGTAAACCAAGTTCCAATTCACATAAATCTGTGAAAAAAATTTTTTTTTACAAAATACAACCTGATTGACACAGAAAGACAGATACTGTATGAATCCATTTATATGAGGTCCCTAAAACAGTGAAACTCCTCAAGTTACGGAGTAGAGTGATGGTTACTGGGATCCGGGGGTAGAATGGGGATGGACAATTAATGTTGAAGAGGTACAGAGTTGCAGTTCAGAAAGAGAAGCATTCTGAAGATGAATGGTACTGATGTTGTGCAACAGCGTGAATGCACTCAGTGCCAGTGAACCCTCAGGAATGATTAAAGTGGCAAATCTCATGTTATGCATACAATAAAAAAAATGGGAAAAAAACATTAAAATTGAAATGTGCTTTGTTTTCTGTGGATGAGGATAACAGCTGCACAATAATTCAGTCTTAAGAGCAATCTAAAAGACACATTTGCTTATAACAGGTCCTACTCTATTAAGTCACGTACATGTCCCCCAAAGAGTCCAAATCAGAGTTCTTTCTCCCATCACCAAGATGAGGCATAGCAGCACGCAAAGCCCATGCTATAGCTAGAGATGCCGTAGACCAAAGTGTGCTGGCCACGCTGGGTGGAGAAGGTGGTGAAGGGTGAAGAGCTCTTACCTCCCACTACCCTCTCTACCCAGCACAGCCCCTGGAGCACAGATTCTCGCAGGACCTTGGTGTTGGGCCATGGACTGTGAGGGTGCCAGACCTCTAATGGTCCTGCTTGGTAAACACGTGAAGATGTTTCTGTGAGGGCAGACTCAAGATTGCAGAAGGGAACTTATTCTACATTTTGGCAAACTCTAGTCTGAATAGAAAATAAAGAACAGAACTGAAATGTAAAACAGAAATCCTTTTTACATTGCTTCACAAATTTTAGAACAATTTATAGTTCTATACTTAATTTTAGGTCTTCAAAATGAATATGGAGAACGTGAAGATGGAAAGATCACCAGCTAAAATGAATACATTTGTTGGTACTGTGTTAGGGTACTTCATTTTTGTAGTGTAGCATAATCCTCAGTATCACAAAGAATATTTACAAAGCACCTTCAAATACGTTCCTTCTGTCTGATCAGAACCACAGGGCATCATAGCTGGAAGGAATAACTAAGTCCATGTTTGACTAACAGATGAGGGATGTAAGACTGAGTGACCTACACAAGATTTGGTAGCCAATCAGAAGCAGAGAAGACCAGAGCTCAGCATTTCAAACAACTTTCCAGTCTCCTAAGATTTTGAGAAGTGTCAGGAACTTTATCCTACAAGAGCATGGATAAACACAAAGAACAGGTGATTTCTTGTAGTTTGTTACACTAAGAAACTCTTACATACATAAGCCTCTTAGTCTGGATAACCTGAAGAGTATGTGGGAAGGGACAGGGATAGATAAGATAAGGCAAGCTGTACAGAATTTAATATTCCAGCTATCAGATCTTGCTGCTGAATGAATATTAACACTCTGATGGAGTATCCCCCACAGTGTATTAGTATGTAATTATTCCCGCTACTTTGTGATTCCCACTAGATTTCAGGAAGAGAAAAAATTAGCACTGGGCATACAAAGACTTTTACATTTGACTCCTCAATCATTCCCCCTACCAAGGTATTTGAAAAGATTTTCATTCTATAGTTTAGAGCCAGCTACTTTGTTTTACCCACCAACTCTAAATGAATTCTCATGTTATTGCATACACAGTCACCTCTGTCACATAATTTTCTTTTTTCAATTTTTGGTATGTGCTACCTTTCAATATTCAATGCATAAATAAATGTGCTGAAACCGATGAAATAAATGTTTGGCTATCCCAAGTTTCTGGTCTTAAATTTATATAAAAACTAAATGCTTTGTATATAAGATGTAGAAATGCCTTTGACCAAAGAGTCCTCATACTTATTTTAGTGGAAGGTACTCACAAAAGGTTACATCTTGCATACTGGCAAATAAAAAAAAACTCATTCACTGGTGATTCTAAGGTCTTGTGTGTTCTGAGGTCATTTTAATATTTGTGTTGATCTTTAATATCAGGTCCTGTTTACTTGTTCCCAAATGTTGGCTGCATCAAAATCACCTGAGCGATTTATTAAGTATATTTTCTCCGTACGTGGCTTAGAAATATTTACTAGAGTTTAGTCAGGGCATTTGTATAGATTGATCAAGTATCCCAAGTTGTGTCCTGCTGTATAACATTCCTTTTTACTTCTTACTCCCAAGAAGACTAGAATCAGGTCAGCCCTAGGCCTGACATTGTCCTCAGCAGAAGTAACTCACAAGAGATAATGAGAAAATTAGGGGGAGAAGGGGAATTTTAAAAGCTACAGAAGGTAAAGGAATAAAGGTCTTAACTAATCAGGGAAGGTAGTTAATTCCCTAGTATCTCACAAAACCTTTGACTCCCTAAATAGCTGACACCAAAACTAACTTAATTTCAGGCCTCTGGGCAGCTTGCTCTTTCCTCTGCGTTTGTTGCGAACAGTAACCAAATAACGGTCACAAAGCTACCTGGAGAACTGTGGCTATCCATGTCGGACCTCAACAAAGCCTGAAGTAGAACACAATCATTACCCGGCAGTCCTGGCAAACCAAGACAACACTGTTCTGAAAGTCAGTATTACATATGGAAAGGAAAGACTCCATTAAGTAGTAAGACTAAAGGAGCTTAAGGCTGCTTAAGGCGATTGATTTTTTTTTAAACATCTGGGAGGGTGACTTTTTAACTGAAATAAGAGACTAACTTTACCCCTATAATAACTGCAGTACAGCAATGAGTTCTGCAACAGGAAATGCCAGAAATACATCCCACATGATTAGCAAATGGATAAATATATGAAGTAACTAGGTAGGCAAAATAAGCCATGTCCAAAAAAGTCACATCTACAAATCAGAATGGTGGTGGTTAATGAATGAATTAGAAAAACCAGCCCTTATTTTTAAATAGTCTAAAATGCATACATAACACAAACAGAAAACATGAGAATAAAAAATAAGGCAAGAAAAAAATTTTTTAAAAATTTGGTTCATCTATTCTTAGCAGCACCTTGTGAAAAATAACCAGTAAAAATACTAAAATGATGAGCTGAACTAGAGATTTAGAATTCAAATTCTCCAAGGTGAAAATACATCACACTGAGATGACTTGTGAATGATCGTAGACGACGATTTCCCTGCAAGGAGCTGGAAGCTGCTGTGAGGCTGAGGCTTAGTGAAGCCTGCCCATTAGGGAGGACACTGCCTCTTTACACAGACTAATGGATGGTAGTGCCCAAGGTCTCAAAAAGAAGATGTGGCTGTCAACAAAATAATGCTATTGTTGCAACCCTTTCTGCTAAGAGCTATTCATTAAACTTTAACTTTCTTAGATACGCTGCCTTCTTAGAGGTGATCCCAAGTTCTGGCCACCTGAATTCTGAAACATCAGCCACCACAAATCTCCTGCATCCTCCAGAGAAAACACACAGGAAACTTTTAGCTTCTTTGATTACAAATAGCAACCCTTTATTCTCCAGGCTGGTAGACTGATGTTTCACCCCCACCTTCTGGCTCTGCCAGATCTTTTAATTCAAAACACAAATTAGTTGCTTGTCAAGGCTGATGATCAGTCACCTTTTAAAAATCATGAACTGCCAGCCAAGAATCAAGCTCTGAGATGGGTCCACATGATTTTGATTTAAATCATATTTGAAAATCACTGACTTAAACTGCCTTCCTTCATCCTCAAGAATGTGCTGTTATTTTGTATGGTGAGGTAAGGGTGATCTTTGAGTCAACAGAGAACAAATGAAAATGGTGTAAAGGCAGAAAGGTGGGGGCTACTATTTTTGATTAGCAGAAGGACTGAAAAAGAACACATCAGACAGACATATTCAAATGAAAAGTACAAAATGCATTTCCAAGTAAACTAAGCTTTTTCGGATTATCTGTTATTTTAGATTACCAACAACACCATTCCACTAGCCCAGAGTATAGGAAGACTACAACTGAAAATGGTATTTTACCAGAACTCATTTCCAGATGACTCTATATTACAGAATACAATACAGAAAACATATATTCAAAATGAGTAAGATCTACCCTATTTACATTATGGCCATTCACGTCAATCCCGAACTGAAGGTAATCATTTTCTTTCTTTCATATCATTTCCCCACTCCTAACAAAAGTTCTGCTAGATATACAATTATATCATCTGCAAAACTGTAACTCCCCTCACCCCACCCTCAAAAAAAGAAAGAAAGAAAAATAAACTACCAATAAAGGCATTGAACTTCTGGGACTTGCTTTCTGAAGCAGTTCTAAGGATCACCAAAGTTTTTTGTTTGCTTGTTTGTTAGTGAAAGGTTACATCAAAATGTGAAATAGAATCCAATCCAAAAAGACTGGAGCCCAAAAGGCACTGTTCAAACTACTGATCTGTAATACTAAAAATTCATTTTCTTCTTACATCTTTTCCCAATGGTCCATTCAATATTTACTGATGTTTGCTGTACACTGTACAAGAGGACCTACAGGCTGAAAGGAATACAGCTTTCCACATAACCAAATGGACATCTGGAAGATGGGTTAGACTGCAAGTCATCAGTACACAGATATGACATAAAACCCTTAGCCAAAGGACAGGATCCAACAACCCTATTACATCAAAGGACTAGACCTTCAGGGAATCCTTTAACATGAACCCATTCTCTTGAGGCCAAGCCACATTCAACAAGGGCAAAAAGAAACAGAAGACAGTATTTCCAGAATGGATTAGTTACAAACAGGAGCAAACCTGGACTCTTTACTCACCATTTTAATACTGCTGCCAACTATAACAAATTGAAATCTGTACACATGACAAAGTGGAAAAAAGTCCAAAAAGCAATAGTTTCAGCAAAAGAACGCACTGGGTAAAGATTACTACAGTTAACATTGCTACAGTAAAAACAATGGCAAACAGGGATTTGGCACCACATTTACAAAGTAAAAGCATGCATTCTTAATATTTAGATGTCTACAAATAGAAAAGACCATGAAGATGGAAAATGAAGGGTACCTTGTACAAAACTCCCTATGACTGAGACAACGAGCAAGAATCCGAGTGGTCAATTAAGTAGATATGTAGCAGCAAAGTCACTGGTTTTGTTTGGAACTTAACAATTTCCATTTCTAATTGGCAGCTAGCTGGGTGTGTCTGTATCCAAGAAGCTGACTTTATCATACTACATGAGCATTTATCTAGTAATTTGGTAATCAGCATAAACAAAGTTAACCTTCACCATAAGCTTAAAAAAAAAAAAAAAAAGAGCTACAATCTTGCTGTACAGCTCTTCAATGTAAATACCATTTAGAAATGTTAATGGTATTCTGAGCAGGATAGTAACAAAAATTTCATCCAAAAACACTGTATTTATAGCCCCAATAACTGGAAAGAATTTTAAGTAATTACAGAAATATTATAAGCCGACCATACCAAGAGTTAAAAACAAAGAATTCCTACTAAGAGGAATATTTTCAAGATGATCTCGTCACATCATGTGCATAGTTTGTGTTTTAATAAAGATTCTTTTGCAAACAAAGAAATAAAATTTAGTAAAGTTATTTTTCTCTTGTTGAAAAAAACTTTAAAAATTAACTACTGGTGGTTGGTTAAGAAGGAAAAACAAATAAGCTACATACTGAAGTTCTGGAATGCAGCACCTCAAACTCCACATCTGCCCTAAACATTTGAGGTTATAAAAATCCAAGCGATGACTTGATCAAATTATACTTTACAGTTGTTCCAATTCCAATGTCTGACTTGAGCATGTCAGGCCAATTATAAGTTCCCTAATACAGAAGATTGTGCTAAAGAGTGCTAAGATTCTGCATGCTGCTGCCATCTCTGGTCCCTTCATGCTTGCACTGCCTGTGAGACAGCCAAACACATCTGGTCTCAAGACTCCACACCACAGTAACTAGAAAAGAAGAACATTCTTAATTAGAAAAAGTTCACAAAGCCAAGAGCACACTACAGCAAAATAACTAAATTGTTCAAAGTTTTACCTTTTACTAACACTCACTCTCTTCAGTAAAGCCCACATTCCTTCAAGTTGTTTTTAATGATGACATCTGTGACAGCATCAAAAACAAACTGCACATTTTTGGTGTCTGTGGCACAGGTGAAGTGAGTGTAGATCTCCTTGGTATCTTTTCTTCTGTTCAGATCTTCAAACTGGCACTGAATGTAAGCAGCTGCTTCTTCATATGTATTGGAACCTAAAACAGACATCCAATAAGCTCAGTTCAGATTATAAGAGATGTGCAAGGAACTGGGGTTGTGGTGCAGCAGGTTAACCTACCGCCTGTACACCAGAATCCTATATGAGCAACAGTTCAAGTCCTAGCTGCTCCACTTCTAATCTACCTGCCTGGTAATGTGCATGAGAAAGCAGCAACAAGATGGTCCCAAGTACCTATGCAACAGTCACCCAAGTGGGAGAACAGGATGGTGTCAGGTTCCTGGTTTAAGCCTGGCTCAGCCCGTCATACCTTCTCTGTAACTGCCTTTCAAATAAATTTTTTTTTTTTAAAGAACTGCCTGAACTCAACTAAGTCAAGCCATTACCATTTACGTCTAAAGCGAACCCAATTGTATATAGAAAGAATTGTGTATTTGTTTTGTAATGCTCACCTATTTACTTTATTCTTTTTTTGAAAACTTTTATTTAATAAATATAAATTTCATAAGTATAACTTTTGAATTATAGCAGTTCTTCCCCCAATACCCAACCTCCCACCCCCAAACCATCCCACCTGCTACTCCCTCTCCCATCCCATTCTTCATTAAGATTCATTTTAATTATCTTTAAGAATTGTGTACTTTTATAATCATTAGGTTTTCCTATAACCGTAAGATTCTTCATGAGAACAGAAAGTCATCACATATGGAGACTGAGGAAAACAAAGCTAACTTTCTCTCTCTCCTTTCATTGAAAATCTTCAGCTGAAAAAAATCTAGAATGTACACAAGGAAACTTGGAGAAGTAGAAAAGTGTATTTCTAGAGAACATATTGTTTAAAACATCAAAGAAAGCT